CCCTCTCTGTTCTATTCGGTAGCCGCGCCCCGTTCACACAACACATCATGTTTCTGTCGGGTCTGCTGTGTGCGAGTCAGGCACCGCGTTCCCTCCATTGACTGGTGCTATCTCTCTTGTGGCAGGCCGCTAATTTTTAGACTCAGGTCGCGCGGCGACGCTGGGCTGGGCTCTGATCCAGAGTCCTGGGAACATTGGGCCACGCACTACTGCGAAATACGGTAATGCTATGCGCGGATACCCAGCTCAGCCAGATGATGGAACAATATTATGAAATGCCACAGCCCTATCCATCTTCTTGACCTCGCTTCTTGCATGTCAAGCCATGTCGAAAAAGAGATTCTTCCTGTTTTGGTCGGGGACTGCACCATTTTTAAGCGAGTTACACAACCAACGACGACACGACGACAACAGCATGGATCTATTACGACTAGTATTGCTGGCTGCTGCTGATGCTGCTATTGCTACCGCTCGGTCTTCTGGGGGGAACAAGGTCAGGGTTCCCATTGTAAGCAAGCACCGGCGGCAGCATCTATGTAAATCCTAGGATGCATGAAAGAGGAAGAAACGAAAAGCTACCAGTTGAAACTTTGGAGAAATTGATATGTGAGGATAGAATACGCATGCAATCAAATAAATGAACAATACGAGAGAGAGTATTTGCTGTCCTTCATATATCTGATTGCAAGCGCTGCTGGGCAATAGAAGGAGACAACGTTGCTTTGACGGAAGAAATGCTCTTGTTTTCCTTTTTACACAGTCATCCCGAGACTTTATACATACTTTTCCAATCTCATCTTCAAGTATTGGCACAGATATGCACAATATTAAACATGCCAACATGAGCACATGTACCCACGCGGTCTATACATGTTTTATATGTATATATTTTTGGCATTTGAAGGTCTACACCAAGAGGCTGATTATATTAAAGTGGTTGATGAGTGACGCGCTTGGGTCTCGAAGTCATACGATGATGAACAAACAGCCATGGCTGCGACTCTGGACTAGGTCCAGGGACCCAGGCGAGCCGGGCAGCTTCTCTTCGGAGCAAAGACACACACACACACCCTTGCTCCTCTCCATCCCGGAGTGGGAGCGTCGCCCGAGCTCTTCACTGATGAGCTTACTTTCCTTTGCTAGTACTACGTTATGTACACAGTATCCTCCCCTCCAAAATTTGTAAACCGTGGGGCTGGAACCCCAAACGAGCGATTCCAGATCGACATCCCCCAATTGCAAATCCCGAGATTTTGACCTCCCCAGAACACCAAAAATGGTGGTACGGGGTATCTCATACATACATACACCTATTATTACCCATCAGGTGGCACAAGAAATGCAGACGTGGACATGAGAGGTCCAAAACAGGAAACGGAATCGTTTGCAGTTGACTGGCAAACTCAGTTCATCACTTATATTCTCTGAAAAGAAACAACCAATATGACTTGGAAACCAATAATACCACATATTGGTTACCACTGATAGGTTCAAATCCCGAAGAGAAAAACAATGGATGCGGTTATCAATCAAGAACGACGTAATAGCGCCACGTTGTGCTGGGTGCATTTCGCTAGTAGCACGTATTTACGCTACATTAGGACCCACGGGCGGCGCCTCCCAAAAGATCCACGGTTCCAGATGCCTGGGAACGACTCTGGTTGAAACGAGGTTTTGCGCCGCCTGGTGAAGAAAAGCATTGCCTATGCACACCTTTTGTTGTTACTTTTCTTGAACATTTTGATTACACCCGCCTTTGCATTTTCGTGACGCTCTGATTATTATGTGCATGGTCTCTTTTTCTTCCCTTCGTGGAAAGCAAGACTTAAGAACATGTAGGGGGGTAAAAGACAACCCCTCCCTTGTGGCCCGCTTCGGCATCTGCAAAATGCCATTGCAATTACGCGGAACTTCCGAACTTCTGGGGACAGACGCGGCCTTTGCTGAGCCTCTCCCTCCCAGAAGCTCTCATGCAGGAGTCGAGAATGTAGATATATACCTAGATGCGTACCTCCTGCAAGTCCACAACAGGACTGGAAGAAAAGGAAAGGGCATTGACTTGCTCAAGTCTAGTATTCTCAAGTACATACGCATGCATTGAAATTTTTACGAATTGGCCTTGTTTGAACAACTGCCGGTGCCAGCGACAATCGGCAACAATTACCGTCGTAACCTAGCCCATTGGCACATGCACATGTTCTGATGTGATTCGCGTGAAGAAGTCCTAAAAGAGCCTTCCCTTCAAGGGGAATCAAGTGTGCCACCTTGAGTACGACGTCTGCTTGCTATGTGGGAAAGGGACCGCCCGTTGCAAAAAGGCAAGGGCAACAAACAGGGTGTGCACGGTGGCCTTTGTAACGAGATTTTTTCTCCCCCGGAAATTTACCATCTATGGACAACGAAGGCGAAGGACGATTTGAGCTCGTCAACAAGCGGACCCCAAGAGGAGGATCAACCGCGGTCCGAGAGAACAGGGGGGAAGGGGGTTTGGCCCATGAAGGCCACGGGAATAACCATATATGCCTACAATTCGCTCTCGTGTCTCATGTAGTATCAAGAATGCACCGGAGCCGAAACGACGCTTAGGCAGGAGAGAGTAACAAAATCGGTAGATGCGGCGCTTCTACTGTAATCTCCTATTGCATGGGAGGCAAAAAGGAAAAAGAAAGAAAAAGATGATGGAGCGAGCACGTTCATTCGAACCCCCAAATTTCTGCAAGTGGACTCTTCCCGACAGTCTGGTTTCCACGATATCACATTTGGGGAGCGTTGTATTTTTGTTTTCTTATTTCTTATTTTTCTCCTCCGCACGAGACGAGCTGAGCCGTTTGCCTATTCTCCGCGCTTGGCCTTGTCCCATCCATCCATTGATCCATCTATTCCCTTTTTATTCGGCTTCCCGAAGCGCTGGGACGGTTGATCCCTGGCAGACTGGCTGGCTTGCTTACTGCTGTGGAACCCCCGCCCCCGTACAACAAATTAAAACCAGCAAGCCGAACATTTGGAGTCTTGGGCTTTTATCCTCTCTCTAATTCCCTATGTTGGCCCCGACTAGGTTATAACTCTCTCGTCATGTCCATGTACTATATATGTGATTGAGGCAATTGGTCAGTATAAAAGGTGGGTATGAATGCAATATAGTCATTTGTGCATACCATGAAATCTCAAGTAAGAACTAGATGGCACACACATGTACGTACGTACAAACATTGTACACTAGAGAGAGTAGTGGGGTTTGTTGGATTCGGTTGGCTGGCTTTCGGAAGGATTGTGTATCTGATCTGATCTCAAAGCCCGGCACCTTTACCGACCAAAAGAACCAGTCACAAATACCTACTTCCCATCCTTGGTTTGATTACAAACCTTCCTTCGGGCTTTCTGAAAGAATAAACGATGAATCCCTCATTACTGTGTACTCACAGTACGATCCCCTCCTCATCACCTGAGCTCACTCTGCATGGGACTTTCAGACCAGCCTTGAAGTGGGAAGAGGCTGGTCGACAAGTTGACAAGTGCTCAATTTCTTGTCAGCACAAGCGGGAATGCAATATACACGTTTGAATCATCATATTCCACAATGTGATTGATTTTGCTGTTAATCTCACCGCTTCATCCAACAGTCGTCATGCCGTTGATTGACAAACAGACCCTTGATGGACGGCTACAACGGGAAGGGCTAGTAAGGCACTTTGAGCTGAAAGAAAAGAGGGTTTGCCCCCAAACCTGAAGTAGGCAATGTATCGTAGCATTTTACGCTTTGTTAGCCATGTGCGATTAGCATCATGCCATTTTGAATGTTGTTTGCGCCTCTCATGCATCACCAATCCGGATTCCCATTGGCTCCCCCAGTCTAAATGATCGTCGAACCCAGGTGGCAAGGTGCGCAGTATTCTCGAATACTACACAAGGCGTGGTCAGCTCAGCCAATCGAATAGGAAAGAGTGCCTCAGTTCTCACACGAGGGCGTAGAAACCCAGGCTGAAACCCCATGGCATTGCTGGAATCCCATTCGATTGCGCAATGGAGTATATGCGCCGTGCGAACCACACACATATTTTTAGCGATCTTGCTCTTTACAGTTATAGATCTACAATGGGAATCCCTCGACTGGTCATCAAAGCATTACCAGAAAAGGGAGATCGACGCGGTTCAAAAAGCATTACCGTGCATATGTGATATTGAAGCCCCCTCCCCCCTCTCTCTTTCCACCCTCCAAGTACCGACTGGCGCCGTCCAATCGAAGCTTTCCGTTTATTCTTGTTGGTTCTTTGTATTACTTCAGTACAAGTGCCGGACCCCAAACCAAAAATTGGTTCGACCCAGTCAGTGCCAGTCCACCGGATCCCAAACTCTCCTTGCTTTGATGGAGACGGCATCCAACCCGATAGACTGGAAAGTTTCTGCCTTCATGCAGAAGACGGGAAACCGCAGCAAAGAAAGATATTACCCATTCAAGTGGGTGTACAAAGTACGATTGCATTCCTTTGGTTTGTTCCTCGGCTCCATGTAGCCGAGCCTATCTTTGACTGAAATGCTTAATCTCGAAGGAAAAAAAATCGTACGTTGTCTCAAGAATAGGAATACTAGAAACCGGGTCACAATGGACACACATTTACATTCCACAAGAATCACCTCTATTCTGCTCATCTAGACTTGGAAATGTATGATATCATGTTGTCCAGTGCAAGAAATGATTAAACCTCAGTGCCTGTCGGGTCTAACAAAACTTACGCTGGATGACAAGATGTACTCTACATCCACATCGCAACCAGCCCCTCTAAAGGCAACCCGGACCCAAAAAACCGTAAACTATTGGTTTGTGTTTGTCTAAGACTAGCCCTTGGTAGCTCCAGACTGCCAATTCTTTTCATTCGTCCAAATGCGACGAACGGGCAGATGCTACTATACATTTCAACCCACCCCTCTTCTCTCTCACAGACACACACTCTCTCTCCTATGGGCGACTAGGGAAGAGTTCATGTCGAGTGCTCGCCCTCAGCAAGGATTCAAAGATAAACCCCCCGTCAAAAAGGAGGTTGTTCTAGCCAGAAACTAGTCTTGATCGATCATTGGTGTCATCGGTGTATACGGAGTTCGCTTACAGATAACATACGCGCTTCTTCTTCTTTCTTCTCATTTTTCAGCCTCACTTCGGCGTTGGGGGGTAAAGGCTTGGCGCTGGAAATCTATGGGCAGGAGATTTTCTGGATCAACTCTAGAAGCGTCTATTTCTTTTTAGTTTTCTTGATATGTAGAATGCTCAAAAGGTATCGACAGCCCTATGTGACCTTTCCCTTTTCAATCCTTTTCTCACCCCCCACCTCCTCTTTCCCTTTGTCTACGGCCGTTATATTTCTTGACTCAGCTACAAAGTACTAACCCGTTTTTGCTTTCCTCGACCACGTGTTTGTTGCCATGCCATTCACCCACTGGGCTGAAGAAAGGCTACCTGCATTTTCTTCTTGTGTCTTGGAAAACGACGCCCCGCCCCGTGGTTGACTTTGACGTCCTTGGCTTGTTTTTCCTCTTGTGGCGTCATCTAGTCGGATTACATGAAAGTACTTCGGCAGTTTTCTAGTTTATTGCAGTGTATCACGGAGGGTAAGGCCTCTGGCATCGGCTACCTGCATGCGTCTAGAATCACTTGACTGATGGTTCACAATCGTTTGCTGATGTCGTCGATGAGAGATCTACAGCTATTCTCAGATCCGTCCGCCTCGTCATGGTCGCTAGGCCAGGATCTGGCTGGCTGGCTGGTTCTCCCCTGGTTGGCCAGTAGCAATGAATGTCATGTATTTCTCATACACTAGTCTAATTCTCACCTAGACATATCGATCACAACCTTGGTGGCCATCATTACCAGTTGGGGGAAGGAAAAAGGGAACAGACTGGTCTCGCCCAAAACAAGTATGATGGGAGTATACTACAGACCTATCAACAACAGCTAATGAGCCTCCAATGCGAGCTCCCCATCAGACGGCCGTATTCATTTCGGCCGAGCCATGTTATTCATTAATCCTCTAGTCTTGCCGTAATTATTCCCTAATGTCTGGACCGAAGCTTAGAAAGAATCCGTCGGGGACGGCGGTCGAAAGAGCCTCACGACGATTCTGCTTTCGCCGGTCAGTGGCTGTGCTGAGAGTTTCTAGGCGGGTGTTGAGATAGGATTGCACGTCGCTAACAATGCCCCTGCTCAGCGCAGCCTGGAAATTGGCCAAATCAATAATAGGCAACAGTTTTGCGGCCTCGTAGAATCTGCCACGAATCGACGTCTCGTCCCTGTCTTGGTTTTGTGAAATAAGAACCCAATCAAAACGGGTACCCGCACGCTTTCTGATCTCACTACGGAATTGCTGTTCGCGAATCATGGCGGCAGGCAGTGGGCCGTGGGTGGGCATTGGTTGCTGCATTGCTCTCTCCTCGAGCCGATAAATGTCTCCCACGAAATGGAGACCGTCCGCGGCAACATAGATCTCGCGCAAATGCATGACGACAGGTAGACTCTTGATCCACGTTGGATTGTTCTCGTTTGAACGCAGCCGGTAACGAACAGCTTCATTCACACAGATGCGCTCGGCTCCAAGGAACAGCCCACCGACACTTTGCTTGTTGGGATCTATTGGGTTGATAGCATAGTTGTTGAAGGTCGAGTAAGAATCATTAATCTCGGCGACCGCCAGCTTGCTTGCCTCGAGTCCGAGCATTTCTTGCTTCTGCCGGTCACCACCCGCGTATTGGCTGTACTGATGCCAATCAACCTGGCTCATCTTACGGCCCTGTATCTCTCTCATGTTGACTATAGACAAATGATCAGCTTCCGAGGTTGTAGTAATCTTGACATGTCAAGTGAAAGACAAAATTGATGCCTCGAGGACATGGACTCACCAGGAGGAACACTAAAGGCCAGGTAGGGCCGCATATCAGGCTCAGTCTTCAACACATTCTCTAACTGAATAGCTGAATGTGCCAAAGGCTTGATGAGACACTTGGGTTGATCATTGCCAGCTCCATTTGGTGGAACAATCTCGAGGACAACACCCAGTCGCCAGGCATTATTATTCTTGTACCAAACAATTTCACCTTCCCGAAATATGACAATCTCCTCAGGAGAGGGCCTCGCCTCTGTCTGAATCTGAGTCAAGTTTGAGGAGCTCGCAGCGTTCACTGGTATATGAACAGGTGTTTGCATATGGGAAGGTGTAGGTGCCGGAACCGGAGTTGGAGCCGGTGCTGCAGTAGAGACCGCAGCGGCAGGCGCAGCAGGAACAGGGACAGGAATCGGCTGCTGCTGCTGTTGCTGTTGTTGGTGTGGTACAGCTGCTGGCTGAGGCTGGACTGCAGCTCTTGGAAGTGCTTGAGATTTGTTGACAGATGAAGCAGAGGCGGACCTCCTCATCGACGTTGCCTGCAAAGCCGGTGACGCAGCAGGGGATCCGTGGGCCGAAACTGGTCCGGTGGCTGCCGTTATCCTCTTCTTCAGAGCCTCGGGCTCGTGCTTGGCGCTCTTGTTACATAATTTGCAAGCACAGTCTCCCTGATCATTTGATCCACCTATGATCCATATGAGATGATGAAAGAACTCGTTGGCAGTAGCATAACTTCTCGGATTCCCGCTCCTATCACTAAGAGGATGCCCGTAAATGAAGTAGTCGTGGTTCTCCCTTTTGTCCTTGTCCGCCTTTGTCTCTGTAAGATGACTGTAAGTATGGTTCATCAACGTGAGAGGAGGGCGCCACCCACTGGGCTTTCTTCGAATATGGTAGTTTTCTGGCAATTCCTTCAAAATGTAGTTGCGAGCTTTTATAGAATTAGTAACGGCCATATCAGCAGCGGTGCCAAGGGAGCAAGCATACTTCGAGCTACCGGATCCCTTATCAAGAACTGATCTCGCAAGAGGCCCCCTAGCTTGAGTAGAAACTCTTGGTATTTCCGCTTGTCAATCTCGGAGTCGTCTGGATTGAGCCTTTCTGCTGCCTTGTATTGCTCTTCCGGCCAAAGTTTGCCATCGCTACTTGTCGATCTGAGTGCAAATTCGAAGACCTGCCTTGACGGGTTGAGTTGACCGCCTGCCCCAGCGACAACAGCAGCCATGGCTTCAATGTCGCTTTCTCAACCACACGACACGGGGCGACCAGCCGACCAGCCGACCAGCCAAGACAATGCCCAAATCGCGGCTCGACCAATTTTGCTTCAGCTCTAGTGAAAAGGTCTTGACTCTTGGACAAGTATCTCAGCAAGTCCTATAGGTCTGTACTTGACGATACTACTCGTTCCAAGTCGGCGGGCTGCAGTGTCTGGCTCCTTTGCCTGATCGCTGGCCTCGCAAGTCCAAAAGGCTGCACTTGATGCCAGCAGACAGATGTGGATACGCTAGCGTGAAGCGTTCCGACGAGGCTGGTGAAGGGGTGCTGTGCTGATCCTACGGAGAGTCCAATCGACGCCCCAAGCTAAAGATAAACGGACTGATATAATTCCACAATATCTCCTGGCTGTTAATATCACGGTATAGTGATGAAGTGATGGCTGTTTGGTGCAATTGACGCCGAGAGGCGTTGGAATGAAGTTGTTTTGTCTAGCAAACGGGGGCTTCAAGCTGTCAGAGTCGCTGCACGGAATTTGTATGTGGGCGCCACTTTTCTATCTGCAAGTGTAAAGAGCGACTGGGCTAACCAAATTTGGACTTGCGTTTTGGCGCGTCGCTGGCTTTCTGCCCATGAATACAAAGTCAAGTAAATGAGCAAAATTGTATTTGGTTCGTGCAGTTGTTTTTACATCAACTACAGCCACAAGACCCCGAGTACATAATTCCCCAGCATATTGATTACAATTGTCAATAAAGACAAACTTGCTATTCTGGCCTACAAGCAATGCACCACGCCACTTGGTCACAGGTTCTCACACAATATGCCAATCCAAGGCTTTCACCATTGAACATGACTTGCAGTTCAATGAGGCCGAAGAGATCGAAGAAATTGAGTATTGGGTACCGGATTTGCACCTGCCAAAAGGGAAACCATTTGAGATGGGTTACAACCTGTTATCTCCATCTAGTCAGGGGCCAAGAGGAAGAATACCTAGAATGGGGCATGAAAATGATAAAAGTCTATTGGTCTCCTACTCGTCTCCAACGCAATGTCCCATGGGCACAATGGCCAAGTCGACAAGAGGCATACGGCACTGGGCGCCTAGAATATATCTAGAGTTCTGGGTTAATCACACTGCAGAGGGTATAAGTGCGCACGGAGCCACAGAGTCAAAGTTACCACCGAATCCATATCCTGGCTCACTTGAAATACATGTGATTGTATTTGATGATCTACCTACCTTGCCATGGACTATCCGAGTAAAATACTACGTGTGTAAATGTTGGACACTGTGACAAATGCATTCAAGTCAGCCAATTCAGCCCTATCATTCGAGGCAGCGTGTTTATCCACATGCAGCGGGGGCGTGCAACATCGTTTGAGTCTAACGAATGGAGATCCTTGAATATGAGAGCTTGATTTCCCGATCTGATCGGGAAATTCAACTTGCCGCCACATTTATATCGTTGCTGCTGATCCCGTTGTCGGAGACTATATTATTATAATGCCTGAGTTGCACGAGATCTTTTGATAAATCCACAGCAAAAACATGATAAGTAGACGAAATTTCATGTTAGACTGTGTGGTCCTTTACTTTTTCTGTGAAATAGCAGGCGAATAACAAAAGTTTCTGTATGCCAAGATCCCCCTGATTCTGCGCATGCTATAGTCGACTCTTACTCCTCTAACACAGCAACCATGGTATCAACGGTATGTGTTTACATGAAAAGTTCAGTGTAAAAGAACATGTCGGTGGTCTCTTTTGACTGATATATCAAAAGCATTGGGATAGACTTGTGCGCTTCGTCGCAGTTGAAGACAATCAGATTTATATTGGGGAACCCACAGACACAGAAGTAGATGGTATGTATAAAAGACGGTCACCTCATTGTCGCAACGTCTCAGTCCTGAAGGAATTGATGCTTACAAGTCCGGCAATGCCAGTTGGCGCAGCACTTGCCCTCTCTCAACCAGTGACGGTCAGAACCAGCTCGGCCCAATCTGTGCTTGATCTGTCGGCCGAGGCGACGGGCGAGATTCGAACGATTGGCAAGCTGCTGCCACCTCTGAGCAGCGAGGAAGTCGGTACCATCCGGTGCATCGGGCTCAATTACCGCAACCACGCGCGGGAGATGAATCTGGAGCTCCCGGACCACCCGACCTTGTTCTTCAAGCCGGCAACCTGCTTGGGCGCGCCCAACGCACCTCTAGTAATCCCCCAGCAAGCCACAGACAGCCAGGCCGATTACGAAGCCGAGCTGGCCGTTGTCATTGGCAAATCGGCCCGCAACGTCCCCGTGGACCGCGCCCTTGACCACGTGCTGGGCTACCTCTGCTCCAACGACGTGACGGCACGCAAGCACCAGTTCCACGGCGCGCAGTGGGGTTTTGGTAAAGGTTTCGACGGCTTTGCGCCCATGGGCCCTTGTCTGGTCTCGCCGCGGCGGGTGCCCGACCCAAGCGTCTTGAAGCTACGGACCACGCTCAACGGCGAGGTCATGCAAGAGGGGGCTGCCGACGACATGATTTTTAGTATTGCCGAAATCATTGCCTACTTATCCCAGGGTACCACGCTGGCACCAGGCACTGTCATAATGACGGGTACTCCCCACGGCATCGGTGTTAGCAAGAACCCGCCCGTCTTTCTCAAGCCCGACGACGACGTCAGAATCGTTATCAGCCACGGATTGGGCAGCCTGGTTAATCGCGTCGTGTATGAGGAGACTTCTGGTTCGCTCAAGAATGGTACGGTATAAGTCGTCCAAATCATTGATGTAATTCATCAAGATGATGCAGTGGAGTTCTCGATGAAGGAGAGAAGGTTTGTCGTCATATTGGATATCGGTCAAACATGGCCGGGATTGCGCAAACAATTTGGAATTATTACACATTTTACTTGCAGTGAGATCAGATAGCATTGTTATAGGAGCACATGATTTTCCTTCCTTCTCTTCATGCATGCACCCATAATCCAGGGAGGCTTTTATATCTGGTGATCCTGCATGATTGTATCTAAAACCTGTTCCCAATGAGTGAGGTCGACGGTTTCGGGAAACGCATAGTTTTGATCATCCCACATGGTCGCCCCTTTGACGGATCCGAACCCGGCTGCCGCATTCATGGACATGCCAAAGAAGGGATCCCTCAATCGGGCACCATTCACCGGGTCTCCTCCCTCCATGCCCTCGACGTGATCCATTATAGGCTGGTGGGCTGCAGTCTGGTGAAGAGAAGGGGTGGACAAGGCCGGGAGGGAATCGGGTAGTGGAATGGCGCTGTTACTGCTGCCACCGCTTGGGGGTATACTGCTATTGGCGGTCATCCTCCGAGCAGCGCCTCTAATGGCCTGGCGCGTCTTTTTGATACACAGCTCACATATCTTGACCTCGGCAAGCGCAAACTCGTTGAGCCAGACGTCATTCCGCTGCAGCTCGCAGTAGGCTTCGAGGTCTTCAAGGATCGCCTGGGAGCGGTTCGAAAAGGGATCCCGCACGATTATGATACCCAGGATAAGGGCGCTATTGAACATATTGTGAGGGCCCAGCGTCCACTTCATTCTATCCACCAGGGGCTGCGAGAAGTACTTGAGGCGCATTTCCAGATCGGCACATGCCGAAGCGATACACGTGTCGTTGCTGAATCGATATCGGTTGGTGATGGACTGCCGAAGCAGAAATGGCCGATGAAGCGTCACCTTGGCAAAGTGAGACATGCTGTGCAGGCGCAGACGACTCCATCGCAGCCATTTGTATTGGTCGTCCTTTGATAGATCAGGTTCCTGGAGTCTAAAATATGGTGGGAGCTTATCTTCCCATGCAACAATCTCAGCGTGAAGCGCGAGAACAGTGTCATAAGACACCTGGAATAGCCCAAAGCACCGCTCTTGAATTTTGCCTACAATAACGCTTAGTTCGTGCCCGAGGCGGTTACCGAGGTTGAGCGTTGGCTCCGACAGTGGGCGCTCTACAGCTCGCTCGGCCTCGGCCTCGTCCAAGTCGTCCAGGTCGAGGTTGGATGCGAGCTTGACAATGCACTGCTGGTCAACAATGGCAAAGGGTCGACCAATGGACAGGGCTATCGTCTTGTCGAGCGTGTAAAGATGACTCCATACCCGCCGACGGACCTCGGTCTTTTGGCGGCACAAGCCCCATCGCTCACCATCAATGTGCATCCCCTGGGCCTGTGCCATGCGCATGGCAAAGCTCGATGTCAGCCAGGACTCCGAGATCCTCCGCGAGTAAATGAGGTACCATGTTACCAAGACACCGGCCCGGACGAGGTCGACGGACTCTCCGTAGAATGTGGGCGCAATGACAATGGCTCGCCTCGCCGCCCAGTAAAAACGCAAAGACGTGTCTTGCAGGTCACGGGCAATGTCTTTGTTGGCCGGCTCCTTGCCATCGAGCAGGACCGCATACGCAAGCACTATGAACAGCAAGGCGAGCCACCTGAGGTCGATGGTGGCCAGATCATCAAAACCAAAGGTCCTAGACCAGAAGAGCTCGTACTTGTTGCTGAAGTCCTTGACCTCGATCGCATCAATTGCCCAGTTTAGTTCCTGAACAAAAGCATCTTTTAGCCGGTCTACCGTGGCCTTCTTTCGCGGTAGTATGCCCAGCAAATCCCATATCTGAGAGAAGGGACCGCCCTCGTCGCGAAAGGAGTGAATAGAACTTGCAATCGACTTGTTTGGGAGGCCAGAGGAGAAGTCAGGTGCTGGAGCTTGGATGATCTTTGCCGCAGCCTGGGGACCAAAATAAGAGGATCCAAAGAAGGACGGAGCATCCCTGCTTCTGTATAAATCGCCAACGGAGCACTGTGGTATGTCCGCGGTCCGTTGCGGGGAGAGTGTGCCACGAGAACCCTCGTTCAAGATGGTGGGCGAGAGACGTCTTCTTTCATCCAAGGGTATCTCATGGCCGCCTTCGGTATTATCCAGAAGCTCTTCATGGGTCGTGGTAACACTATTGGTTTGCGCTCCAGCATTGATATAAGTGCAGTCTTTTCCTACTCCCCTTCGACTACAATCCCAACGAGCACTTTGTCAGCTGATATCCGTGCAGCAGATGGATTCAAGCATTGTCTACTACTCACCGGCAATTGAAGCATGGATGACTACCATCGCACTGGGTTTCAACTGAATCAGCGCTGTGATCTTGCCAATCTTCTCGAGCTCCTCTGCAAATCAATGCTGAATGGCAAGAATCTTGCGGTGCTATTTTGAAAGAACAACCCGCGCTTTGAGGTACGGTATCTATTGCACTTTGATTCCCGCATGATGGAATCCAACAGACTCACCCGTTGTTTGCGCCGGCGGCAAGAAACACAAGCAACGGCATGCCGGCCTCTCTTGGTCTTTCTCTCTGGTGGCGTCGCCTCACCATGATTTCGTTTATCCGAACGGGATATGCTGACGTTTCCGGTGCCGGCGGCGGATACTTTACTACGAGACCGGATTTCATTGTCGTCCTCGACCGGTCGTGTCATTCTATCACATCACCATGCAAGGGCGACGATCGGAAATTTCGGGGAAATGGTGGAGCATGAGTTTTCATCTGTCGGGGAATTGCAACGAGATGGGGGGATGAGTGATACGACCCAGACTCGCCAGACTCCAATTGTTATATGGCACGTTATCGGCAATCTCGAGAATATCCCGAAAAGGGTTTATTACGGCCAATGCGTATCATTGGGAGCCAGAGTTTTAGCTTACTCAAATAGTATGTGGTGTTCCACTCAATTCGGGCATATTATATGGGTCCTGCACCGCCTTTATCACATCGCCTCGAGTCATACAATGCCGTATTCAGAGGTAGGCTTAATTAAATCCGTTTGCTTGGCTGGACGGGAGGGTTGGTCCGGTCGCATCAAGCAATGCTCGACAGGATGTACTACTCGGTACAGATTACATTCGACGTGAGTAGTAGATAACGGTCTCCTCCCCGCTTCTCCATATTCTCTGGGCCCACGAATCAACCCATCGAACCAAGCAGGGTTCCAGTATCTACAGCACATTTCCCGATCAGTTGTCGGAAATTGAAAGATTGTATCGTGGGCCTATCTTCACCACCAGCACAGCAACAGTAAAAGTCAGCAACTATGTATAATGCCCTGTAAAAGGCTTGATAGCCATACGGTATTTCATGATATAATTGAGCCAGTTGTACGAACAATGACTACCACAGAATTTTGATCCCCGGGGGCATCACTCTTTTCACGGCCTTGATCCTCAACAATCGTTTTTGGCATCATTTTGACTAACAAGCCAATAAAACCAAGCATAGCCAGCGTAAGCGGACGCTGAGGCTCGCCACTCTGCAGTTGCTATTGTTCCAAGTCCAAAAAAAATAGGCAACCTATCATGGCGACAGAAACGACCATACCAGTCGAGAAAAACTTCGGCTTGGACGAGCATGGATCCCCAGAGAAGGAGAAATCCGGCTCTGTCAGTGCTGCTGTAGACTTACACATTGACCCTGCAGCGGAGAAACGTCTGCTTCGAAAGCTGGATATGTTTTTGGCGCCCATGATGATTCTCTGCTTCTTGGTTGCATACCTTGATAGAAGTAATATTGGTGAGTCTTGCTTGCGCTTTGGAGGCCCTAATTGACGAAGCCCGTTTGTTGAATTCAATGCAGAGGCCTAATTCGATCGGAAACAGGAAACGCAGCGATCGCCGGCATGACAGACGACTTGAACCTAATCGGCAACCAGCTCAACGTTGCCGTGACGCTCTTCTATGTGACCTACATTGCGTTTGAGATACCCGCCTCCCTCGTTCTCAAGAAAGCCCGGCCGAGTAGGCTCATCCCAACCTTTGTTATTGGCTGGAGCATCGTCATTATCGGTTCCGCCTTTGTCAAGAATTACGCCGGTCTCATTGCCACGCGCCTGTTGCTCGGCGTCTTCGAGTCCGGACTCTTCCCCTGTCTGACCCTCTACCTCAGCACATTTTACAAGAAAGAGGAACAAGCTCGCCGCATCTCGTACCTCTTCGTCGCTGCTGCGCTTTCGGGCGCCTTTGGAGGGCTGCTCGCATACGCGCTGACTAGTATGCATGGAGCTCACGGCCTGGCTGGATGGCGGTGGCTCTTCCTCATTGAGGGTCTCATCTCCGCTGCGGTTGGCATCATGACGATTTTTCTCTTGCCGGACCACTTTGAGACGGCCTGGGTAAGCAATTTCCGATGCCATTTCCCCTCCTTTCTCGGTTGTCTCATGAGCAAACATTACCCAAAATGGTGCTGCAAGAAAGCAGACTTGGACAACTTGATCAAAAGAGCTATTCCAAAGCCATTCATCCACGCGAAAAGTCAACTGCTAATACATCTTGTAGTGGATGCGTGAGGACGAAAAGGTCCTGATGCGTGTACGCGCCGAGCAAACCAGAATCTACGCTGGCCAGTCGGACGAATTAGACAAGGCGGAAGTCAAGTTGGCATTCAAGGATCCCAAGGTCTGGTTGTCTTCGTTCTGTCAGTTCTGTGCTGATACGTGCTCCTTTGGGTTTGGCACATTCTTGCCCACGATCATCAAGGGGTTCGGATTCGACTCTGTGCGCACACAGCTCCTCACAGCCCCTGTGTACATCTGGGCGTCTGCTGTTTACATTTTTATATCCTTCATGTCGGACAAGATTAACCGCCGTGCCGTCTTCATGGTCCCTCTAGCTCTGGTATCTGCTGCAGGTTATTCCATGTTGTTGGGTGTGTCCATGTCCAACACTTGGGTCTTGTACTTTGCCACCTTTGTGACAGCTACCGGCATTTACTGCATTGTGGGACTGAACGTTACGTGGATAAGTAATAGTAACGCAGGTTACTTTAAACGGGCGACGGCGATCGGACTCCAGCAGACCATTGGCAACAGCGCCGGAATCATGGCCGGCCAAATCTACAGACTCACAGAAGCCGATGGGAGGTATACCATTGGACATGCAATTTCCCTCGCGACTGTGGTCTTGGCCGCGATTGGGTACTTTGTCATGTGGGCTGCACTCAAGAGAGCCAATGACAAGCGCGACAACATGAATGCCGAGGATCGAGCCATGCAAATCGAAGCTGGCAAGAGTGGTGACAGACATCCCGACTTCCGCTATGTGCTATAAGCTTCGACCGCCGAACAGTGCGAGACATGTCTGTTTGTGGGATTAGTATATATGGTAGTATAGATATCTATCAACGTTTTATTCTGTGCCCTATCGTACATGTAAAGGCATATTTTGTGAGATGTTTTTGCAAAGCACGAGAAGATTGGAAAACTGCAGACGAGCTAGATATGTGATTCTCAATAATTTGCCGTGGTTTTGTGGATATTGCTGAATCGGCATGCAAAAGCGCCAAGTTGTGACTTTATCTGGCATAAACTTATGTGCATTCAAACAACAAATAGCTTTGTTGGATAGATGATTATTACGGATGCCCAGAGGGCAAACTGTTGAAAAACCAAGATTTGGATAAAATCACTCTATTTAC